TGGTAATAATTAATTTATTTTCATAAATAATAAAATTTTTCTTTAAAATTCAATTATTTAAAAATATTGAAATAAAATTCGTTGCAAGAATTTAATTATTTTCATATAAATACAAAAACTCATCACAGAATTTTAATTATTTTTAATATAAAATGAATGATAAATTCAATTTACACGAGGAAAATAAAATTATTGTTAAAAAGATTATTAAAAATTTTTTGAAATAATTATTTATTTTTGGATTTAAATAATTTAATTCTTGTATAATTTTCTAATAATAATTAATTTAGAAAATTCTTGTGGAAAAAATATTTATTTTACAAAAATTATTCAAATCTTGAATGTAATTTAATTTAGAAATTATAAATAAAATTAGTCTTTTGAAAAATTGTAATTAAAATTTTTATTTAAATCTTGAATGTAATTTAATTGAAAAAATAAATAAAATTAGCCTTTTGAAAAATTGTAATTAAAATGTTTCTATTTTCAACTATATTATAGTTGAATTTCAGCAAATAATTTAAACAGATTAAATTTAATTTTTAATTAGTTGGAAATTTTATAAAAATTTAATTTAAATAAATTTTATATTTTAAAGAATGATATTTTTTACTTTTAAAAATTATTATTAAATATTATCGTATTTTTAAAGAATTCTAAATTAAAATTTAGAAAATAATTGAGTTTTGCAAAAATTGAGAATTGAAGTAAACTTTACTAATTCAGAAGCAAAAAGTCTGTCACTAATTCAAATAATTAAATATTTTTACTAATTTAAATTTAGAGAGCAATAAACATTAGGAATTAAAATAATTTTTTTTATTGGTAAATGAATTAAAAATATTATTTATAAGTAATAATTACATTAGTAATTTAATTATTATTAATAAATAGATTGAGAAGAGTTTTACGCCTCGAGTGTCTAAAAAATACTGCGTCTTAAAACAAGATTTTCCTTCCCTCTTAAAAATAAAATAGACTTACTCTTTACAATTATTGTTGTACCTTATAGGGAATTATAAAAACAATAAAATTTCTGCTTTTGTGAAATGAAAAGCAATAATCATAAGCTCTGAGCAGATAAAATTTTATATATAGAATATACTATATATAGATATTTATCTGCTCTGATTTGAACTCGACAATTCAATGTCCTTTAGTTTCTCCAATTTTCGAAAGTACAAAGAGACTAATATTACAACAATGAAATACAGCAATTTGCGGTAATAATGGGTATATGGATTACGGAGCAAGTTTGAATACAAACGTATTATTACAGCTGAAACAGAAGCATGAGATTATAATGCATGACATGTTTTGATTATGCATTAATAACATTGATACATAACGAGAAATTTTGGATAGTTAAATTTAGGTTAAACAACTTAGATGTGTCAGTATTGCCGGTATAAAGTTTACTGGAGTATGTGAAATACATTGCATATACAATATTGTGGAGAATGCAAATCTATATATCCAGTCACGGATTACAATTTTCCGTGTGTCCTATTTAGAGGGTAATTAAATTTTTTAATGGAAATATTTCTTCTTCTTCTTCTTCTTCTTTGGAAATTAGGTTATTCATTTTTAATAATGTACAATTCTATTTGACATGGCTTGGTTAGAATTCTGGTTGGAAAATAATTTTCTTGGTTTTGAAAAAATTTGTATTTATAATATTTATATGAGTGATTTTATTTTCTAAAAGAGTGACTCTTTTGCAGATCGATTCAGTAGTAAAGGAAATTTTTAGTCAGACATTGCATTGTAAGTTCCAATTCCCGTAGTTTTTTAAATCATTAGTAAAAGAAAAATTTAGTCAGACAGTTCTTAATTCGTTTAACTTTAAAATCAGAGTTAAAGAATCAATTAGCATTAGACATAATTTTGTTAGTTTAAAAATTTTAAATTTTCAAAGTTCTGGTATTTTTTGGTATTCAGTAGTAAAAGAATATTTCAGTCAGACATTAAGTTTTAAACGAACATTATAATTAGTAGCCAAAAGACAAGTTTTATTGAATAAAGTTTTTCTTTCAAGTAGTCGAAGTTTCCTAGTTCTTTTACTTTTCGTATTCAGTAGAATGAAATTGTTTTGTATTAAATAAATTTAAATGTTCTTTTATTTTTCGTATTCAGTAGTAAAACTAAATTTTAGTCAGACAGTCTTTAATTCTTTCTGCATTATAATCTGTAGAAATAAGACAATTTAAATTAAATATCATTTTTTTAAGATACTAATTTTCGAGATTTTTCTATTTCTTGTTTTCAGTAGTAAAAGTAAATGACAGTCAGACTAGGTTTTTAATTCCTGCAACATTATAATCAGTAGTAAAAAGAAAAATTTCAATTGAATAAAATTTTTATTATTTAAATAAATGTTAAGTAAATGGTAAATTCCTACTGTATGTAAATTGTCAATAATTATTAGCTAGTAGATTTTACAAAATTAATAAATACATCAAACTAATATTTAAAGTACTAGTATTTTTTCGCATTTAGTAGTAAAAACATATTTTAGTCAGACATTACGGTTTAAATTCTTTTAACTTTATAATGCAGTATTAAAATAATAATTTTTTAAAAAAAAGTAATTATTCTATTAATTGTAATTTTTTTTCAGTAATATATCAAAATTTTAGTCAGACATTAAGTTTAAAATTGTTACAACTTTTTATTCAGTAGTAAAAGTAAATTTTGATGAGACATTACGTTTTAAATTCTTTTAACTTTATAACTAGTACAGGGCTCGTGCGAGTCAAAAAAATTAATTTAAAAATTCAATTATTTCTAAAAATTCACACTATATTTATTTCTTGGCTAAAATTTTAACTAAAATTCACTTTTAAATCAATTTTTATTAAAAAATTCTAATAGAATTCAATTATTTAAATCCAAAAATAAATAATAATTTATTGAATAATTGAATATTTCTTAAAATTGAATTCTCATACAAAATTTTACGAAAAAATGTTTAAATAATTGAATTCTTTAGACGAATTTTAATAGAATTTTAAAATAATAATAACATTTTTCGAGAAATTCGATTAAAATTGTATTAAAAATAATTGCAATTCTGCGATGAGTTTTATTATTTTTGAAAATAATTGAATCCCTAAGAAGAATTTTATTACTTTTGAAAATAATTGAATTTCGGCGAAGAATTTCATTCCTTTTAAAAATAATTGAATTTCGGCGAAGAATTTCATTCCTTTTAAAAATAATTGAATTTCTGCAATAATTTGTAACTTTTCCAAAATTCGATTTTTTTAGTGATTTTAACTAAAATTCTTCTATAAATCCATTATTTTTAATAATTTTTGAGAAAGTTCTTTGAGAATTTTTAAATTCATTTGTTTATAATTCAATTTTACAAAATTTCAATTATTCGTAAATTTTTCAATTAAATATATATTAGAAGATAAAAACTTCAAATAATTAAAAAAAAAATCCGCAATTAAACTTATTCAAAAAAATTAATTCCATAGAATTGTTAGTCAAAAATTTCAAAAATTTAGATTTTCAAAGATTTTAATTTGAAATCTTTTTAAAATTCAATTATTTCTAAAAAATCAAGCTACAATACTTTTAATTTAATTTACGAGAATAATTGAATCTTGTAAAAGTTTTATTATTTATGAAAATAATTGAATTATTGCAAAGAAATTTATAAAAAATTTGTTAATAATTAAATTCCTGTAAAATTTTTATTATTTTATAAAAATAATTAAATGTTTGCGTAGAATTTTATTAAAAATTTAACTTTATAACTATTAGTAAAATGACTATTTTAATTATAAGTAATAAGACAATAATTTTAATTGAAAATCATTTTTTTCAAGAAATTAATTTTCGAGGTTTTTCTATTTCTTGTTTTCAGTAGTAAAAGTAAATTACAGTCAGACTAAGTTTTAAATTTCTGCAAAATTATAATCAGTAGTAAAATGAAAAATTTAAATTTAATAAAATTGTTTATTATTTAAAATGTTAAGTAAATGGTGAATTCTTTCTGTATGAAAATTGTCAATAATTATTAGCGAGTAGATTTTACAAAATTAATCAATACATGAAACTAATATTTAAAGAACTAGTATTTTTTCGTATTTAGTAGTAAAAACATATTTTAGTCAGACATTACGGTTTAAATTCTTTTAACTTTATAATGCAGTATTAAAATAATAATTTTTTTCAAAAAAGTAATTATTGCATTACTTGTAATTTCTTTTCTTTTCAGTAGTATATCAATATTTTAGTCAGACATTAAGTTTAAAATTGTTACAACTTTTTTATTCAGTAGTAGAAGAAAATATTTGTCAGACTTTACGTTTTAAATTCTTCTAATTTCATAATCGGTAAGAAAAATATAGTTTAATAGAATATACCTAATTGATTATTCTTGTTGAGTAACCAATATTCAAATTTATTGTATTTTTTCGTATTCAGTAGTGAAAAAAAATTTAGTCAGATATTAGCTTATGAGTTTACTAGTATGTAAAAATTTTAGTCAGGCATTAGGTTTAAAATTGTTCCAATTTTGTTTTAAGTAGTAAGAGTAGATTTTGGTCAGACGTGATTAAAATCGTCCCAATTTTGTATGCAGTAGTAGGAGTAAATTTTGGTCAGACATTACATTTAAAATCGTCCTAACTTTGTATTCAGTAGTAAGAGTAAATTTTGGTCAGCCATTACATCAAATACCAACATAAAAATTAATCAAGACATTAAAAATGTCACTTTCAGAAAAATCACCCATGTAGAATTGATTCGAAAGTATTTTTCTACTGTTTCTTCTCAAACTTGTTTTTCTTTATCACATTTTTTTGTTAATGTGTAAATACTCCCGCCTCCCACCGGGCAGTTTACTCTTTTTTTTATGGCAAATAGTTTGAGAATGTTTAACGTTCGGGTTGTAAAATTTCTTCAATTGGATTTATATTCTTTGAGCAATCTGTCGTTTATTTGCTTTATAAAAAGAGAGTTTAACAGTGTTTTGGATTTATTACCTCCTCAACGTTGTCCAGAGCATGATAAGCAACCTGGTACCCATGGAGACCGGAGTGATTTCTGCTTTGCCAGGATACAAGCACTGAGAATGGTTGTATGTCCTGAATGGCAAGTTTAAGGACCAAGGGGGCAGAACAGAAGGTGTGAGGATCAAGGTCTAGGAAAACGAGACCTCTCAATTCTGGTGGTTGTTCACACCTCAAAAGTCCACTTTCAACGTCGTTCACACCAACACCGTTGCCCCTATTACGTCCAACGCCACCGCCAACTAGTTTTTTATGGTCTCGCAGCCACTCCCAAAGCTCTTGAGATTCACAACTACAGTGAAGAGGATTTTCTACGGAAAATAAATTATTATATTATATTATTATATTTCTTGCCTGGCAATATTTTTATTTTTATTTTTATTTTTATTTTTATTCTTGAGTTAGTTTTCGTAAAAAGGATTTTTTATTTTCCAAAAGACTTTTCAAATTGAAAATAATTTTTTTAGCTTTGAAAAATGTGGTTGAAAATGGAAATAGTATTTTCGTTTTAGTTGGCGTTTGAAATTTGAAAAAATTTATTTTGGAAATTCTGAGAAACTTAGGTTTTTGAAAAATTGTTATTAACATTTTTTTTTTGAAGATAATTGAATTGACGAAAATAATTTTAGAAATTGAAACAATTAAAAGTTTTGTGAAATAAAAAACCCTGTTAATATTAATTATTATAATTATAATATATTATTGTTATTGTAATATAATATAATTATTGTAAATAATTAATGTTATGTTAAATTATAGAAAAAATAATAATTCTCCATATTTCTTCATCAAGTGAATAAATTTAAACATTTTTTTCTTTTTAAATTAAATTAGTTTCAACATTTTTTCTAATATTAAGAATGATAATGTCACATTAAGATATTTTCGTTATGACACAGGCTTTTAATTATATCTTCTTATCTAAATATTTTATACTTTCGTGCGTTTGGTCATTATATCAACAACGCTCTAAATCGAGTTTTACTTCCACATCAATTTAATTTTCATGAGCAAGTTCTTATAATAAACTTTAAGCTTCTGAATATTAAACTCCAAAGATTAAACAGTATGCACAATCATGACCCTTCCTCTCCAGAAACAGTAATAAATTTGTAGATAAGACTCAGTGGACTGCTATTTACATTACATGGTTTACATAAAGGTGTTAAGATTTACAACCTTTTTCTCAATAAAAAATTATGGAAAAATTTTAAAGGAATATCGAAAAATTATGATTTTTTCTTTTTGATCAATTACAATTGAAGTGAACGGAAAAAGTTTTATTTTAAAATTTAAATTAAAGAATTTATATTGGCTCGTAATTTAGGAATATTTTCCCGGGAAATTTATTAATATTTTTTTATAATAGAAAATATTCTTAATGGCAATGGAAATTTTTTTAATGAAAGAAACTTATTTTAATTTTAAGAAAATTGTATTCTAATCGAAGAATAAAATAAAGACGCTTTTTATTTGAAAATAGAAGCCAAGATTTATAATTAAAATAGCAAATATTACGGGTGCTATACCATTATTCAGAATTCAATTATTTGCAGATACTTTAATAAAATTCATCGCAGAAATTTAATTGTTTTGAAAAATTTTAATGAAAGTCTTTGCTGGGATTTAATTATTTTTAAAAATATTACTAAATTTTTTTGCAAGATTTTAATTAATTTTAATATAATTTCATTAAAATTTCTCGGAAGAATTCAATTATTTTAAACATTTTTATTTAAATTCTGCGAAAGTATTCAATTATTTTGAAAATTTTTTAAAAAATTCTTCGCTTGAATTCAATTATGTTCAAATTAAATTTAATTTCTTCGAAAAACTTCAATTCTTTTTATAAATAATACAATTTTTAAGAGGAATTAAAATTTTTAGAATGAATTCAATTCTTTTTATAAATAATACAATTTTTAAGAGGAATTAAAATTTTTAGAATGAATTCAATTTGAACGGATTTAAATTTATTTGCAAAAATAATTGTAATTTCACGAATAGTCAGAATTGAAATTATTGCGATGAATTTATTAGACTTTTTCTAAAATTTATCTTAGCGATTTAAAAATGAATTAGACATTAAAATTTTAGGAAAAACAAATTTTATCTGTGAATCAGGGCAAAGTGAGGAAAAAACAAAATTTTTATACAATTCTTCACAATAATTCAAATGCTTTCACTAATAATAACATTTTTTATAGAAATTCAATTTTCTAAAAACTTTCTAATAAAATTCTAAGCAAGAATTCAATTATTTTCATAAATAATAAAATTCATCGAAGAATTTCAATTATTTTTAATACTATTTTAAATTAATTAATCGAAAAAAATAATTATTTAAAACAATGTTTATAAAATTCCTATAAAAAATTCAATTATTTTCAAAAATAACAAAATTTTTCAATGAAATTCAATTCTTTTTAAACATTTTAATAACATTTTTCGTAATAATACTATTATTTTCATAAATAATAAAATTCTTTACAGGAATTCAACTATTTTTGAGAATTTTAATAAAATTCTTTGCAACTACTCAAATATTTTCATAAATAATAAAATTCATGTCAGGACTTTATTTATTTTTAATACAATTTTACAGGAATTGCTCAAAAAGTGTAATTATCCTTAAAAATTTAATTTCAATTCTTCGAAATAATCAATTATTTAAAAAAAAAATTCTTTTAGGATTCTTTGGAAGAATTCAATTATTTACAAAAATATTATAATTTTTCACAGGAATTCAATTATTTTCAAATATTGTAATAAAGTTGTTAGAAAGGAATCAATTATTTCAGATACAATTTTGATTAAATTTTTTTGAAATAATTCAATTATTCTTTCAGATTTTAATAAAATTCTTTCCAAGAATTCAATTATTTACATAAATAATTCTTTGAAAGAATTCAATTATTAAAGATAAATAACAAAATTATTCCCGAAAATCCAATTATTTTGAGGCATTTTAATAAAATTCTTTGCAAAATTTAATTATTTTCAAAAAATGACAATATTCATCACAAGAATTCAATTATTTTTAAAAGTAATAAATCTCTTCTGTTTTAGGAATTCAATTATTTTTAAAATTTCTAATAAAATCGTTTGCAAAAATTCAATTATTTTCATAAATAATAAAATATGTTTTAGGAATTCAATTATTTTCAAAAAAATTTAATAAACACCACACAGACATTCAATTATTGTCAAAAATTTTAATAGAATTCTTTGTAAAATTTAATTATTTTTAAAATCTTTTCGCAATTCCATAATTTTTAATATCTACAATTTTCATAGAATTTTCAAACAGAATTCAATTACCTATTTAAAATTTTTTTTTGTAACAATCGTAAGAATTCAATTATTTAAATTAGAATTTGCATAAAGTTAGTCGAAAGAAATGAATTATTAAAATTTTGTTATAAAATTCTTCGCAAGAATTAAATTATTTTTATAAATATTTAAATTCTTTCATGAATAATAAAATTCGTTGCAGGAATTCAATTTATTAGCAGGATAAGAAAGATGTAAATATTTTTGATTAAAATTAGGAAAAAGTCAGGAAAATAAAATATAAAATGGAGTTTTTGTCAGTTTTGTGAAAGTTTCTAAAACTAGTTGTTTTGGTAAAGTTTAATTTTTCGATAGCAACTTTTTAACTACTTTTTTTTTAGTTTGAAAGCTACTTTTTGCTACTTTTTTAAAATTAATTATTGAGTGCAAAGTCTAATTTTAATTTAAGACTTCCTTTCTATCTGAAAAATAAGATTTTCTTTTTACTGTGTGTACGAAATTTTGAATTAAAAAGTTTAGAAAACATTTTTCCTCACCTTCAGCTCTTAGACTTCGTATTTGCGTTTCCAATGGTCGAAATGCATTAAGCGGTAAATTCTCCAAGTAATTTTTACTTAAATCCAAAATCCTGAGTTTCTTTAATAATCGAAATGCATCGGACGATATTTTTGATATTAAATTCCCATATAAATGAAGTTCAACTAAATTTTCTAAATGTTGAAATGTCGTTCTTCTAACTTCATTAATTTGATTATGAGATAAATCTAATACCTGAAGTCCCTTTAAATCCACTGGGAATTCCTCCAACTCCTTTAAGCGATTGTGCGTTAAATTCAACAGTCTCAAGTGCTCCAGTCCCTTTAATCTCTCTTGTGGTAGCGATTCCAACTCATTGACACTCAGGTCTAGAGTTAACAAATTTGGCAAGCTACGAAAGGCACTCGGTGAGACCCTCGAAATCATGTTGTTGCCCATAAAGAGGTGCATCAGAGCGGGAAAAGCTTCAAAGTCTTGACTAGTTACTATAGTTAAATTAGTGCCACAAATGTGAACCTCTTGTAAAGCAGGATACCTTGCTTCTGAACTGATTTCGTGAATTCTTGCTAAAGGATTTGCGGTTACATTCAACCATCCTAAACTTGGTATGTTTTGGGCCGATAGAGCCGTTGCTGGTATCTGACGAAATTTGTTTGCAGCTAATTCAACTTTACGTAGAAGATTTGAATGAATGAAGAAATTCGCCGGGAGGGCGGTCAAAAGATTGTGGCTCAGGTCGACGGAGAGGAGTTTTGAAAGATGGACCGAGGCGAAACCTGATAGGGACTTTATGTAGTTATCTCGGAGATCGAGTTCGCGGAGGTTGGTGAGACCGTGTAGACGGGACATGTCGACATGTTCAATGACGTTGTAGGATAGGGAGAGGTATTCGATTTTTGATGCGTTGATAAAGACTTCGTAGGGTATGTCCTCGAGGGAGTTGCCGTCTAGTTTGACTTCCTTGAGGGAGTCGAGTCCTAGGAATAAAAAACCCGGGAGGGTCTTTAGGAGATTGTTGCTTAGGAGGAGTTTGCCTAGATTTTTGTTTTTGGTGAACAGTTCGGGAGGGATGCGGTAGAGTTGACAGGAGTCCATTGCTAGGTGCTGGAGGGAGGGGAGACCGTCGAGGGAAAAATTGTCGATCTGACTGAAATTGTTGTGGGAGATTCGGAGAATGCGAAGACCGGGGATGTCGAGACGGTCCAAAGCGGTGGCGGTGAGGTGATTGTGTTCTAGATTCAGTTCGTAGAGATTGTTTAGTCCGCGGAATGTCCCCCTGTCGATGATGTTGACGGAGGAGTTTTTGAGACTTAGGGTACGGATTGGGAGGCCTTCTTGAAAGATGCTGTCGTGGAGGACATTGAGATGATTGTTGGAGAGATCGAGAACTCGGAGACGCTTTAGAGCTGTGAGGGCGTAGGCGTCCATTCGACGGAGGCCATTGTCGCCTAGGTACAATTCCTCGAGTTCGTGAAGTTCGGAGAATGTCTTTACGGTTACGTGACTTAGACGATTCATGCTGAGATCGAGGAATTTGAGGGCTTGCATTGGCAGAAAGGCGTTGTCCTCAATGCGGGATATTGAATTGTTGGTGAGGTAGAGACGTTCCACTAAAAGGAGATCTCGGAACAATGGCGCTTGGAGACGAGTTAGTCTGTTGTGTCCCAGCCACATTATGCGCACTGATGCCTGACCACGGAGGGAGTCGTTGTGCAATACACCGAGACCGTTGTTGTCGAGTTGAATTGAGACGAGGGAACTGCCACCGCCGTTACCGTTTTGACCGACTTCGTTGGAGATTTGAAAGACGTCGCCTAGGACGGCGAGGAGGTTTCCTTGAAGATTCACGTGTTGGAGACTGTGGAGAGAGCGGAGGGCTCCTGTTTCCATGTCTGTTATCGCATTGTTCTGAAGATGTAACTCTAGGAGACGAGGCAGTGGAGCGAAGACGTCCCTCCTCACTTCTGTTATCTGATTGTCCTGTAGACGCAATTCCTTGAGGTGATTCGCTTTCGCGAAAGTGCCCACTTCTAGTTCTCTTATGTTGTTCCCATCGAGGGAGAGTGTGGATAAGTTTTCGCAGTGTTGGAGAAAATCGCGTGGGACTTTTTCTATGAAGTTCCCACTGAGATGTAATTGGGCCAAGTGGTCCAGTGTCACAAGACCCTTGGCGTCGATTCTTCGAATAGCGTTCTGTTGAAGGTATATTACAGATAAACTGGAACTACCCGAGAATGTTTCGGCTGGTATTTCCAAAATATTATTCTCCGCCAGAAATAGTTCCTTAAGTTCCGGAAGTCTGGAAAACACTCCTCGAATATAGTGAATGTGATTGTGACTGAGATCGATGGATCTCAATTTTTGATTGGCACGAAATGTCGCTATGTCTAGAAATACAACTTTGTTGTGACTTAGATCTATTGACTCGAGATCCTTCAGCGATATGAATGCATCCTTATCGACAGACTCGACGGCATTGTAGTACAATGACAGTGTCTTTAGAGAGGGACAACATCGAAAGCAATTTAGTGGAATTATTTGGAAATTGTTACTACTTAAATCTAAGAAATTGAGCCTATCCAATCTTGAGTAGCCGTCCTCGGGTAATTTTGATATTTCGTTCCACGCGAGTCTTAAGGATATTAAATGCTCCAAGCGTCTTAATGCTGTCATGGGGAATATTTTAATTTTATTCTCCGTGAGATCGAGATCTTTTAGTGTATCCTCGAGTCCGGCGAATGCATATTCGGAGATTTTTGTTATTTGATTACCCTTTAGATTGAGTTTTATTAGGGAGAGGCCAAAGAATATGTAACTCGTTAGATCGTGAATGAGATTTGCCTCGAGATCGAGAGTCGTTAATCGAACAAGTGGAGCGAGTGCTTGTTGTGGAACGTTTGGAAGTTTACTCGAAACTATGGCTAGGGATTCCAAACAGAATTCTAATCTTTGAAATGCGTCCTGGGTTATTTCGCGAATGTTTGATTGGGAAATTTGTAGATGTCGAATTTGTGAGCCCATGGGGAAAACGGATGCTCTCAGTTCTTGCATTTTTCGATCCACCTCGTAGACACTTAATGATTGAATTAAGGCACCTGTAGATTGAAAAAAATTATTTGTAGCATTAATTTTTTTAATTCTTCTCCTTATAAAGTACTTAAAGTAACTTTTCTAAAAACTTTTTTGCAAAACAAGTTTTTAAAAACAAAAGAGTTTTTAGAAGAGTTTTTAGAAAAGTTACTTTACATTACTCGCAAAAACTTGAAAAGTGAGTGTTATTGAAAATTGTTTCTGAAGAATCTCTTCATTTTTTAAGAGCATCTACAATATAATGACTATCTGTATATATATAATAAAGAGAGTGAGAAAGAGAAAAAGAGTGAAAGAGAAGAGAAAAAGGGGGGAAAAGAGGAGAAATAAAAAAAATATTACCCTCCGGTTTTCCAGTATGAAGTACTCCTGATAATGCTGTTCTCAAAGATTCCTCTGTCGAACCAGCACACTCGAGAAACAGTCCATCCTGAAAATTGTAGCAAGGACACCCTGCCAGTGAATCGGAAGGAGGGCATTCAGCACTCTGAGTTTCCTGAATCGTTATGCAGACAGCCAGAAATGCCAAGTAGAGTATAAAAGCACTTGTCCGATGATGGCGGTTTCGTTCCCATCCTCTACCTGACGGAGGATCCCGCCACTTTCGTTTAGTTCGTGGTAACGACTTCCACATTATCGCGCAATTTCAGATTGTGAGTTTAGCATCTTTCTCGACATCCTGCTTACGGTTTCTGTAATGTTAATAGATTTTAAAAACAAAAATATAAATTAATTGAGAATTTTTACATTTTTATTTGATAGTTGGAGGTAATTGTAAATTTTTACTCTCTAAATTTAAAAGAATTGCTAACTTTAGTCTCTAAATTGAAGAGAACTGTAATTTTTACTCTATAATTTAAAGGGGGTTATAATATTTACTCTTTAATTTTTTAATAAAATTAAGTAGGTAACAGATTTTTTTTATCATATAAACGATGTGAATCAGTAAAATTTTGCTAATTAGCTTAATTTACTGATTAACAGTGTTAAGTTCCACTTGCAAATATTTATGAAAAAATTGTTATTTAAGTAATTTTTAGACAAATTACTGTTATTTATTAACTAACTTTGGTCATATTTTAATTAATTCTGAAGGATTTTACTGATTTTTAGTAGGAAACTACTAATTACATAGTAAAACAAAACTAAAAAATAGAAATTTAATAGTTGAATATTTTATTAGTTAATTAGTTTTCTTTTACTTTTTGCTTTTGAATTAGTAAATTTTACTAATAAATAGTCATTTCTATTAATTTAATAGTAAAATTGACTAATTCAAAAGCAAAAAGTTAGTCAGTAGTAAAATAATTATTGGTTAAGTTAATTATTTCTTAGTTAATTAGTTCTCTACTAATAAAAGTCTGCGGATTCGTTTAGCAATTTAGTAATAAAGATTCTACTAATTTTTAGTAGCAAACAACTAATTTTTCTAGTAAAATATTTATTAATTAATTAAGAGTCAAGTTTTACTCTTTCAATTAATAAAAGTTTGTGACAAATATTTATTTATTTAAAAGAAAATATTGTTGAAATTGAATTGTATTGAATTGAATTCAAATTCAAATTCAATTGAATCGAATTGAATATTAGTAGATAACAATAATAATAATTAGATAATAATAATCATCATTTATTTCATGAAGAATGAAATTAACTAATAAATATTTAACTATAAAATTAGTAGTTTTCGACTAAAAATTAGTAAAATAATCAAAATCGTTTTGTTTAAAAATGTTTTAAAAAATAAATTGATTTTAATTCTTTATTTGTATTTTCGTGAAATTCGGTTAATTAACATCGGACAGCGATCACTTGACTCAACACTCACACCCTGTTAATTAGCACGTACACGCTTTTTGGAATTAGTGGTATAGGCACTTATTGTTGGGAATCAGTGAAATTTCCTCTAAATTCAGGTTTAGAAACTACTGTAGAAATAGAAATCGAAATATAAATATTTTTTCATGTAATTTCTTTCTAAATATTCAGTTAAATTGGGTTTTAAAAAAAATTGTAGTAATGGAAGAAACTTTTATGTTTTGTTGTTTTATAGTAAAAAAAAAATCTACAGAGTGTGTGTATAAAATTCTTCAAACATCCATAACTTTTTTTATTTTAGGTGAAAAAATCGTTTTTCTCTAGGTCGCGTACCTTTTATATTACTTTGTTATTATTGATCCGATTTTTAAAGTTGTTTTTTTTGTTTCATTTTAAAGCTTAGAGAAAGGATTGTTCATCGCACACGAATATGCTTTTTTAGATATAAATTTAGTTTCGAAATAGTTTGAAAATGGTCATTTTTTATTTCTCAACAACTTTTTAGAAAAATTTTTCTACTGAAATTTTTTTTTGAATATTATTTTCTCTTCGTGACTTGTTCTTATTTATTTTTCTGATTTTTCTTTTACCTTTTCTTCTATTTCTTTTACTTTTTCTTCATTTTTTCTTTTCCTTTTTCTTTTTTTTTCTTTCTGTCTGTTTCTTTGTTTTCTTCTACTTGCTTTTTCCTTTTTATTTAAATTTCTTTTTTAATATATTACTAAAATCTATTTATACTAGTGTAAATAAAATTTTAAATTGATTGACTGAATAAAATCAATTTATATTACTGTAAAAAGGATTTTAAACTGATTGTATGACTGAAATCACTTTATACTACTTTATAAATATGATTTTATAATGATTTTCTGGATAAAATCAATTTAAACTATTGTAAATATGTTTTTAAAATGATTGTCTGACAGAAATCAGGTTACACTACTGTAAATAAAGTTTTAAAATTAATGTCTGACTAAAATCAATTTGTACTACTGGAAGTCTTATTTTCACAGTAGTACAAACTGATTTTAGAAAAAATTGATTTTAAAAGTTTTAAAATGAATGTCTGACTAAAATCAATTTATACTACTGTAAATAAGATAAAAAACTGATTGGCTGACTAAAATCAACTTCTATCACTAATTACAGAATTTAAAGTTCACCCGAGGCTTGTCTGACTCTAATTTTCTATTACCACTTAAAATATTCTGTCTGACTGTAATCTCTATTACTACTTATTTAAAAAGAGAAAAAATATTCTTTTTTAATGACTAAAATAATTTTTTTTGCTTGGGTCAAAATCACTTTTTACTACCTACTAATTAATAAAATTAATAAATTATTAATATTTATTAATTATTATATTATATTATTATATATTATTATTATTATTATTATATTTTATTAATTATTTTTATTATTAAATTATTATTAATTAAGGCTAATAACTACTTATTAATGATGAATAATTAATTATTCGTAAATATTTTTCAATATTTCAATTAATTAAAAATGTAAGTTAACAATAAGTTTAATTAATATAATTGAAATTAATTAACAAAATAAATATCAACACGATTTAAGTATTGAATTGAAAATGAGAAATTTGAATTTCCTTTTTGAAATGATATGTGTATATGGCTAAGTTAGTTTAATTTTCCTGAATGACCTCAAGGACCGGGTAATAATTAATAAACATTGGCGAATAGTTATAATAGTGAAACACATTTCATCATTACTATAACGAAGAAGAGTGTAATAAATATTAATGTCTTTAGTAAAGTGCCTAACTTCATAATGGTGGTCAGACCCTTCTGATCCATTAGCACCGCAGCTAAATTGAATTTCCTCCACAGATAGTAGTTTAGGTTCGTATTAAATCGTTGAGCTGTAGCTTGTAATGAACTATACTTGATGATAGTAGTTGAACTTAAAAGCTGCAGACTAATTATAACAAGGTGAATTCTTCTATTATTTGCTTTAAATTCATTTAAAGAAAATGCAAACTGTTCGAAAACAGTGAGAGCATGCTTACGTATTCCATAATTATAAGTCTCGTGTAACTTCAGAAAGGATTCGTTTATTTAGTCTGACAAGCGTAAAACGTGCACAATGCAAATCATTTTCCTCTCTTTCTCTCTCTCTCTCTCTCTCTTTTTTTATTCCTCCTGCGAATTCTGATATAATGGGAATTTGGTTTCATTCTTTTTTTCAACCCCTTTTATTGTGAAATTGTGTTTTTTTTAGATATATTAATTAATTAAATGTAATATGAATTAATATTATGACATTTGCATTTGAATGAGTACTGAGTCAAAAAAATTGTATAGAATTTTGCTAAAATGATTCTAGAGAATGATACTAAATAAAAGCTGATGAATATTCTTTAGAATTTCACTAAAACTATTCAATATGAATTTCCATATGGAATAATTAAATTTTGGAAATGTATATTAATTATAAGTTTATAAATACTTGTTGTAAAATGTTTCTTGAAAGTAATATTAATTTATGTTAAATATATCATAAAAATACTAGAAGAATAAAATTTTGCAAAATTTTAATTGCAATTTTAAAAATAAATAATTGAGTAATAAAAACAATTCAACATTTTTTTTAACCGTGAACATTTTTTAATTTGTTTTAGATATCGTGATTGGAGGTTGAACGTTGGTTGAAATTTTGAAGGTAAGAATTATGTATATGTTTGAAACTTATTTGATTTTCTATTTTTTAAATTCGTCAATTTTGTCGAGACAGGGAAAATTTTGGGGAATTTTAATTGCAATTCTCGAAAATAATTGATTTCAGAAAAAGTTCTGTGAAAAATTTCCATATGAAAATTTGGAAATGGAAATTTAAAAATTAAAAATTCATGAAAATTATCTTCACAAAATTATATTAAAATATATTTTTTTTTTGGAAAACAAATTCTTGTAATCTTTTCATTATTATAATTTTTAAAAATCAATTATTTTCCAAATTTTCGGCAATTCCAATTACTACAAAAAAATAATTTCAATGAACCTACACAGTGAGAAAAATTTTTCTTTATCCAACAATTATATGTAGCCAACCAAAAAAATATATTTGAATTAAACATATTTTATAATTGAATAATTTCTATTGAATTAAACTTATCATGTATTGAATGAAAATTATTGTTTAATTCAAAAAATAATTTTTGGTTCACTGTATAAGAAAGATTTTTTTCATTCAAATTTATTGTATTCTCAGAACATTTAATTTTTTTTTAAATCTAACTTTTTAGAATTATTCTTGAAATTTTGAAGGAAACAATCATTTTCAAAATTTGTAACCAAAATTCTTTAATAAAAATTGATTAGTTTTTCAAATTGTCGAAAAAGTCAAATATTTTCAAAGCGGAAGTAAATTAAATTTTTTAAACAAACATTACAATTTTGAGGAAATTATGTATTTTTATTTTTTATAATTAAAATTCTTGAAAAATTTGATTTTTTTTTTAAATTTTACAAAAATTCTTTTAAGAAATTCTATTATTTTTACAAAATTTTACTTAATTTCAACTGTTTGAAAATTTTTGAATTATTTAGAAATTTTTAAATTCGGTATACATAATTGACAAATCTCTTATCTTTACAAAATTGTCTAAATATATTTTTAAAATACTAATTTTAATAATTTTTTTGGTATAATTTTTTAATAATTAATTTAATTATAATATTTTGTGTTACTTTTTTTTAATAATTCATTTTAAATAGCCTTTAGAAAAGTCAATGTGGTTACAATTATTGTAATTTATAATTACAATTTTAATTTTTAGAAATAATTAAATTTCAGAAGGTTTGGAATTAAAAAATTTTAATTCCGTTGGAAAAGTAAATATGATGTA